AAATATTTTTAAACTTATTTAAAAACTCCCACCAAAATTTCTAAATTTTTAAAATTCCCAATCCCATTTCAATTTCAACCAAATTTCATTATTTTTCCTCCTTCCATTTTTCTCCTCTCAGTTTCGTCTTCTCAGGTACTCTTCTCTCTCCATAGATCCGCCTCTGTTTTCGATTTCTTACTTTCTTATAGAAATTTTGGTGGGTTCTCGATTATCTTCTTGTCGTAGTCTTTCTTTTAGATTTTTCATGGTTTCTTCGATAGATCTGGTTTTCGTCTCTTGTTTTTCTAAGGGATTTCTTGTTTTTGTTTGACTATGTATGGTTGGATCTAGAAGTGGTCAAGAGCAATTTCAGCGACAATGGCAGGCAAAGGAGGGAAAGGGCTTGTAGCTGCGAAGACGACCGCTGGTAACAAGGACAAGGACAAGAAGAAAGCACCCATGTCTCGCTCTGCTCGTGCTGGTATTCAGGTAACTCTCTCAAACACTAGCTTCTTTAGGGATGTTGAAAATTCGACTTCTTTGACTCTGACTTTTGCCCAATTGTGATTGGGGGTCTAGAAGATTGTTGCTATTCCGTTGAAATTTATTGCAAATTGAGATCTTTAAGAAAAGATTTGTGTTGTGTGTTGTTGTTTCTATGTATGTTAGGAGCCTCCATTACTCTGAAGCTGACTTTTGTTACACATGAGGCCTTTGTTTGCGGTTAGAGCCAGGTTATACTATTGTACTGAAACTATTTGGTGTGTACTATTAAAAAGGACACTCTACTCAGATCTTAGACTTTCTTCCTGTGAGTGTCTGTTGCATGATATTGTTGAGTTCATGAAAGTGCCCTTGTGATGACAGTATATGCATCACAGTCTGTGATTACTCTAGGACAAGTAGATGAATGAAGTTTTAACAAATAAAGAATGTTTGACTGTATATACTATTTGCTTACCTTACATGCTCTGTTCTCCTTGTCAACTATTGCTGTTCTGTTATGATAATTGATCTTGTTGTGCATAGCCTTACAAGTAGAAAGACCGGTGTTATAATATGGTTTACATGTTAACTTTATGAAACTTCACTTTAATGTCGTTTCAGTTTCCAGTGGGTCGTATTCATAGGCAACTAAAGACCAGAGTTTCAGCACATGGAAGGGTTGGTGGCACTGCTGCTGTCTACATGGCTTCAATTCTAGAGTACCTAACTGCAGAAGTTCTTGAGTTAGCTGGAAACGCGAGCAAAGATCTGAAAGTGAAGAGAATAACTCCGAGGCATTTGCAGTTGGCAATCAGAGGAGATGAGGAGCTTGACACACTCATCAAAGGAACTATTGCTGGAGGAGGTGTCATCCCTCACATCCACAAGTCTCTGATCAACAAAACCACCAAGGAGTGATAATGTTTCTTAGGCTCCGGATTGCTGAGGTTGTGTGATTTGCTAGTTAGTAGCTTTTGGTGTTTGAGTTTGTTTAGTCCTGGACTGCTTTTCCTTTTCTTAGTTCCTTTGTTAGTGTTGCTCTCTTTTGGACATCCTCAGGTGTGTGTACATGAGTTAATTTGAACTCTTAGGCTTCTTGTTTGAGCAAATGTTATCTTTGCTGAATCAGGAAATGTTAATTCGGTTGTTTGGAATTTGCATGCTCTTGTGATTTGCTTCTGTCAAGTAAACCGTTTTCAGTGTTTAATAATTGAGAATCAGAAAATCATTTGGTCATAAGCTCTCTTAGGTGACTGGATTTAACCAGAGCTGTATATGAAGAATGCATGTTCAGAGGTTTCATGTTAACATGGAATTTATCAAAGGTTTCATGTTAACATGTGTCTTCCATAAGTGAAAGCTGGTGAAGGTTCTCTAGCAAATATGGCTTAAAATGCCTCGACGAGCAATGCCACTTTCTTTTTCCTTCCTAGAGCAAGTCTTTCGACGGTATGCTGCAGAGCATAATCAATCATCCACTCCTCTGCGTTCCTATTCTCATCCATATCCTGATGCTTGAGTTCCACCCTTTCACTAATCGGCTCTTTGATAATTGGAAGGTAATTGGGTTCTCTTGGGTTAAATTCCCTCCAATTCAGGGTGCATTCTTCTCGGTTGCAGGATGTTGGTGCACTAGGTAACAGAGCTTCCTCTGTTTTCGATACAAATTGAATCCCCTTGTCCACTTTCTCCATATGCCTCCTCTAATTCTTTAGCTTTCTTCGAAGTCAGCTTCTCATCAGGAACATTCTCTAGAAGGCAGTGACTGTTCGGATAAAAGAAAGATGATTGAGTAATCCAAGAAACTACCCTCGTGGCTCTCTTGATCCTCAATTGCATTTTCTGATTGCTCAAGACTTGCTAAGTTGTCAATCATCATACCGATGTTTGATACTTCA